CAACCTCTAGGAAAAGTTGTATGGAGATACCCCAAAAATGAAAAGTAAATCTACCATTTGATCCAGCAATCCCACTACTGAATATTTCCCCCAAAGAAAAACAGTCATTTTATCAACAAGACAAAAAGACAGATGCAGTCGAATGTTTACTGCAGCACAATTCACAATCACAGAGAAATGGAAATAAGACAAGTACCCCTCAATACAAGAATGGATTAATAAAGTGGCATATGTATACCATAGAGTTCTACTCAGCCATAAAAAAATGGTGAACTACTACCTTTTGCCACAACCTGTGTGGAACTGAAGACTATTCTTCTAGGTGAAGTTTCATAAGAATGAAAAAAAAAAAAAACACCACATGAACTATTAAACTGGAACTAGTGAATCAATACTCATGTGCACATTTGGCAGTAAAAACTCAAAGAAAAGCAAGCAGGTGGGAGGGGGCAAAAGGGGTGGGTAAATTCATACGTAATAGGTACAATGAACACTATTGGGTGAGGAGAACACTCACTAGTAACTTAGACTCAAACTGTACAAAAATAATTAATGTAAATAATGAAAAATACTTCTACCCCCTGGGCCGGGAGCAGTGGCTCACACCTATTATAATCCTAGCACTCTGGGAGGCCGAGGCGGGTGGACTGCCTGAGCTCACAGGTTCCAGACCAGACTGAAAAAGAGCGAGACCCCATCTCTAAAAATAGCCGGTGTTGTGGCGGGTGCTATAGTCCCAGCTAGTTGGGAGGCTGAGTGAGGAGAATTGCTTGAGCCCAGGAGTTTGAGGTTGCTGTGAGCTGTGACGCTACAGCACTCTACCCAGGATGACAAAGTGAGACTCCGTCTCAAAAAAATATATATATACACACATACACACACATAATATTCTGGGGGGAAAAAAAGACTCCACAAAGAAACTAACAGAATGGGTACAGACATTAAATAAAGTTACAGGATATAATTTCAACATACAAAAATCAGTAGCATTTATACATGCCAACAATAGCAAAACTGTTTGCATTTCTATATGCAAACAATAACCAAAAAGTAATTAGCCAAAAAGTAATTCCACTTACAATAGCTACAAATAAAATAAAATAGGTACTAATTCAATTTAAAAATTGTATTTGCAGAAATTCTCCCCAAATCCTGGATAATAACTTGCAGTTTTATATATATATTGAGTATATTCTCAAGCTCCCTCATTTTATCCCTACAATCTTCTGCAGCACTAGTTTTTCAGTTTTTCTATCTTAGAGTCAGTATCACACTGTCTTAATCACTGCAACTAATTAGTTATGACGTTGGCTCTGATTGATACTAAAGGTTGGGGTAACAATGACAATTTTTTCAAATAAGACAACAGTGAAGTCTTCTGAGTAGATTTAGTTTGTCTTTCACAAAAGATTTTTCTGAATCATGTGATATTGTTTGATGGCATTTTACCCTCAGTAGAAGATCTTTCAAAATTGGAGTGAACCCTCTGAAATCTTGTTACTGCTTTATCAGCGAAGTTGATGTAATATTCTAAATCCTTTCTTGTCATCTCAACCATGTTCAAAGCATCTTCACCAGGAGTATATTCCACTTTAAGAAACCAGTATCTTTGCTCACGCATTAGAAGCTGCTACTCACCCATTTTTATCCTGAGATTGCAGCAATTCAGTCACATCTTTAGGCTCCACTTATATTTCCAATTCTTTTGTTATTTCTACCAGATCTGTAGATATTCAGTCCAATAAAGGCTTGAACCCCTCAAAGTTATCCAAGAGGGTTGGAATCAACTTCTCCCCAACTCCTAATAATGAGATACTCTGCCTTCCTCTCAGGAATCACAAATATTCTTCTTTTTTTTTGGAGTCAGAGTTTCACTATGTTACCCTCAATAGAGTGCCATGATGTCACAGCTCACAGCAACCTCCAACCCTTGGACTTAGGCGATTCTCTTGCCTCAGCCTCCCAAGTAGCTGGGACTACAGGTTCCTGCTACCATGTCTGGCTACTTTTTTGTTGCAGTTATTGTTTAGCTGGGGCTGGGTTTGAACCCGCCAACCTTGGTCGGTGCATGTGGCCAAGCCTGGAATCACAAACATTCTTAATGGCAGGAAGAACGGTGAATCTCTCCCAGAAAGTTTTTAATTTACTTTGTCCAGATCCATCAGAAGAATCAGTATGACTATAATAGCTCCACACACTGTGTTTCTTAAATAGTAAGACTTGAAAGTCTGCAGAGGGTAAGAAACCTTGCTTTCAGCCTATCTGAGCACTTGTCATACCTTCCCCGCTAAGCTTAGTCACCTAGAGTTTTCCATTTAAAGTGAGAGAGTTATGAGTCCTTTTACTTGAACACTTAGAGAACACTGTACGATTATTAACTGGCCCAATTTCAATATTCTTTCACTGCAGGGAATAGGGAGACTGGAGTAAAGGGAGAGAGATGGTTTAATGCCAGTCAGTGGAATAGCTGAAACACCCACAAAATATATCAATTTTAAGTTTGTTGTCTTACACAGGCATGGTTTCTGGTGACCCTGAACCATGACAATAGTAACATCAAAGGTCTCTGATCACAAATCACCTTGACGAGTATAATAATAAGAAGAAGAAAGTGAGAAATACTGTGAGAATTACCAAAATGTGACACAGATAACAGAGTAAGCACAAGCTATGGAAAAATGGTGTCATAGACTTGCCTGAGACAGAGTTGCTGCAAAACTTCAATGTATACAACATACAGTATTTATTTTATTGTGAAACACAACAGGGCACAGCACAATAAAACAAGGTAAGCCTCATCTCTATTCAGAATTTCTTCAATGGCTTTAACGTTTTATAATTTTTTCCATTAAGTTCTTGCTTGGCCTTTAAACTGATTCCTATGAATGTAGTACCTTGAATTTGCATGTGTTTGCGTGTGGATCTTTCCAAAAAACTTCATTTTCTGTTTGTTGCTGAGAAATAGACTCTAATAACTTTCATTACACTAACCTCATATCCAGGAAATTTCTTTATATTTTGCTATTACATACTCAATAATTAGTCTTTTGGGGGAGGTTCTATGTATATATATAATATAATCATTTAATCTGTAAGATAGTTTGGTGCCTTTATTTTCAAAATTTGTCATTTTAATTTCTTTTTATTGTCCTACTATATTTGCTAGCTCATCACAAAATAGCAATGATTACAGCTGACAATTCTGTGTTACTTCTGCTTTTATAGAAAATATTTGTTACATGTCATTAAATAAGAACACTGACATACACTACAGCAAACATATTTTGTGAGTTTAATGACATTGCCTCAGTTACTTAATTTTCTAAAAGCTTTTGTTTTATCAAGAATAAATGATGAATCTTACTGAGTACCTTTTCTGTATCTATTGAAATGACCACAGTTTTTAATTCTTTAATCTGTGATGAATTATATTAACACACTTCTGAATGTTATAGTTATCTTATGTTCTGGGATAAATCTAAAGTTTCATGAATTTCATGAAGTTTACAACTGGATTTGCTATAATTTGTGGAGGTTTTTCTCAAGTATTGATATTTTCAAGTTCATATATAATATCAATGACAATGTTACTCTCTTTTATTAGTCTGGGTATCAAGATTTTACTAATCTTTAGAAAAAAGTTGAGGATTATTTTATTATTTCTCACCGCTCTTCTCTGAAAAAGTCTGGCACACCTTACCTTGAAAAATCATCCTGACACTATTTTGTGTGCATGTGCACACACAGATGTACTGTGTGGAGCCAGCAGTATTTATAGATTCAGTTTATCGAATTATTATAAGTTTGTTTAGTTTTCTAATTCATTCTAAATCAGTTTTAGTAAGTTACATTTTTCTAGGAATTTGTGCTCTTTCTTATCTTTTTATTTCATATACTCAATATTAGCTTAGATTTATTTAAATAATTGCCAATTTCTTTGTTCATCATTCCTCCATTAAAACTCCACCTCCTTCTCAAGTCAATTTTCTTGTTCCCAAGATTCAGCCTTTGCATGTTCATTTATTAGGTTCTATGCAACAGAATTTTTCTCAGTACTTCCTGTTTTATATTCCACTCTCATTCATGGAAGAATTTAAGTTTCACAAAATGACATCCTTGATCTGGGAGCACCTGTGTCATCTGACAGTCTGCTATACATATAAGATGCTGTGCCCTACCCTGACCTACTAAATCAGAAATCTGGAGGTAGGGTGAAAAATTTCTTTTAACTATCACTCCAGGTGATTCTGATGCACTCTGAAGTTTGAGAAGCTCTGGTACAGTTGTCATACAATCCAATATCAGTAGTTATTTTCCTTCCATACCCTCAAAATATTTACTCCATTGTCTTTTGGCTACCAGGGTCGCAAATGAGCTGTGTACCATACAGGTGTTCCTCATGTTATCCAAGTAATGCCCTTTCTTCTCTGGCTGTTTGAAGCTCTCATTCTCTTTGCTTCTCAAGTTCTATTGTACTTCATGGATTTATATACCTTGCCTTAAAATCTTCTGAATAAGTTGAGGTATATATGTGAATCATAAACATTTACAATTGAGACAAGTTCATTATATGTTTAAAAACAGTGGCAAAGTTGAGTAAATATCATGATAGATTAGAAAAGGAAGTATCAATATAATCACCTCAGAAGATAGATTTCAGTTTTAAAATGTTGCTGAAAATTATAATAGTGGTTCAAAGAGTCTATCATTCCATTTGTACAGGTAAAATTAACCAGTTGCAGTTAAAATTAATATGCCAAAAGCCCAAATAAATGCAGAACTCAATAAATTGTCATCAAGCATTTACCACAATAATGGTAACAAGTAATAGAAAACATTATTTACACCCAAGCTACTTTTCTAATATGTTTAAAAGCCAGATTAACTCATATAGCAAAGGAAAAAGCAGGTTTTCTATAGAAAGCTTGTTACCCACCTTTGTATATGGTTCTTGGGAAACTACATACTCTCACCTTACTCTAATTATTAGGATAGCACAGCTAAACATACCTGGCTATGTAGCTCTCAGAGTATGTTTTTCTTTTGTTTGTAAGCACACCTGATGTAGGATTTCTCGCCAAGCTAGGTGGTGTGGAATTCCGAGATTTGATGTTGGGTCTAGAAAAAAGAGACAGAGTAATTAAAAGGTATTAAAGAATAAGAATTTATTTCCCAGACTGTCTATTTGCAAGATTAGAAAAATAATTAGAAGCTGCAGAGAAGTTCAAAAGATTAAAGTTCAAATAATTATTTCAAATCTGAAAACAAACAGTAGTCAAAGCTGAGGTTAAACCAAAGGATTTGCATTTACTAACGGTGTCCTGAGAGAATGTAAAATCAATGAAAATATGTATACATGCTCTACATGAAATTTATAACCTAATCATTCTGAAAGGCTTCAACTTTCTTTAAAGTCTAAATTGATAGCTCCCTCAAAACAGATGTATTCTGTCAAATGCCTATGAATAATTCCTAAATAATTTTTGATACAAGTTTTATTGTTCTAAACTAGGGGTCCTCAAACTTTTTAAACA